TTTACCACACGACCATTCACAGCGCTGTAGAAACAGAAAGCCGCGGGTGAGCTCACCTTGTTGGTTCATCAAGTTGCTTAAAGATCGCGCACGGATGGCAAATATGCAAACCAACGCCGTGTTGGTAATCACTTTATCCCTCAGCTGAAATGCTTAATAAGTTTATACAAGCCGTCGAAAGTATTCAACAACGGTATGATGACGAAGCCATCAAATTGTTTTCTTTCCATGCATTTACATTCGATGTCATCTGTGGAGAAAGACACCATTTCTCCATTAACCGCTCGCCAAAACAAATCCATATTATTGAACTTTATTCCCTGGTGAAACAGGTCCAATAAGCCTACGAAAGGCTGACACACTACCTCCCCAGATGAAAACCCTAAGAGCCGAAAACCGCGTACACGATATGGTTTATCTTGTACTTTGACAACGTTGACAGGTAACACCGTAGAGTAGGTGAGTCTGTTGTGCACGTACACGTCATGCACATTCATACTTATAAACTGCATTTCTCGCGTGTTTCCCCCCAAAACGGACGGACGCCAGCACGTTTATTTGCTCTATGGTAAGTTTAAATAGCTCCACTGAAGAGTTATTAGCATTCCTCAGCAGCAATTTCAACTTGTACAACTGGCATTCAAATGCAAAAGCGGAGAAGTGCACTAACTGCTCGTGTTTCTTAACGTCTTGCACTAGATGAATGAGGCCATGTACTTTGGACGTCATCTCTTTGCAGTAACTGCGTACAACTACCTTCAAGACGGACTACGCGAAGTCCGCATACGTAACGTGCAGTACCGCAGGAAGTAGTATGTAAATTGCTATGTGTAGCTCAATTGATTGGCTGTTGATTGATATCCCCTGTGTGGCTGCTCTTGATGTGCATGTTGACAAGGTGCCTACCTGTCTATTACCCACTACCTCGTCTATACTAGCTCCAGGAGACAGTTGGTCGTTACTGAAGACGATAGAGCGCAGGGCTCCCGTGGCCGTGCTAGGCTCCAGGAGTAATTCCATGTATTCAGTGTGGAGCGGACTGCGGTCCAGCCACTGCCTTGTGTGCCATGGATTCTGGGATCATTGGCTACGCGTCATTCACCGTTCGACCGGTGAACATTGCGCCTATCACCCTTAAACCGATGGGGCGAAAGCGGGTCAATGAGGCATTCGTTAGATAAGTCTCAGATACTCTGGCACAGATGCAGATCCATCGCCCTTACTGGTACCCCATCCCAACTGCGTATTCCATTCGAGGCCTGGGAATTCGGTACTCTAGCTATTTCAACTTCTCCGAACACATCCTACATCAAGTATCAAGAGCGACGCAAGTAACCAGCTACATCGTTAGTTCATTTTCACTATCCCAAACACGACTTGAATCATTCAAACTCATAGTGCGACAAAATCTAGAGTACTGCACCATCATACCTAGTCAAAACACTGTATGACTGTTACGGACTGAATGCAAATTCATAGCTAAGCATTGACTAGCGCCCCATAAGCATTGTGATGGAAGAGCGCTGGAAGTTTCTCAAAGCAATTTTGTTTGTATCGCGTGGGTGGCTATGTATGATGATGCAGTACACATATTGTTTATGTGAATGAAGAAAAGCAATGGGCCCAATACACTGCCTTGACGACACCACTAGTGATATTCCTGGGATTAAAAAACTATTGAACAATTTGTACTCTTTGTGTCCGATCGTTCAGATATGAGTCGAACCAGCTCAATGGAACAATGATTTCATACGGGCACAAAAGCCAAAACTTAACAGGTCCCGTGGAATAGTCATGATGAAAATCCAAAAGATAGAAAAATGTCAGCAAAATTAGGGTCACACCAGGGGACTCACCGTTGTATTCGTAGCACAAAATGTAAATCCACTGCAAGTTCCTAAGAAGTGATGACAAATGGGACGTTAGTGAACATAGTGCCGCCTCAATGGGACCACATAGAGGAGGTGTAGGAGGTGGAACGTATTCTGTGAGTTGAGCGGCAGTGAAATCTCTAACAGACACTCGTGTTTAGGCATGGGCAGTGAGTCACGTGATATGGTGCAGCGAAATGAGTGCATAGTTAACTCAGGCTTTGAAGTACAAGCGTGTTAGCACAGATGACAAATTCCGGAAAGGCATTCTATACTTGACGAACACGTACAGAAAAGAAATTCCGACGGCATTCCAACCGAAGTTTATTGCTCTGCCAGCTTGTGATGGTGGTGGGATCTCAAATTACTGTTGTGACTGACCTCTAGCAAATGGCGGCACGTGTGGTTGGGATCTCTCAAAATCTGGTAAGTCAAAATGATGTCCCCACGCAATAGCCGATATTGTCCGCTGAAGGCCCCGAGCACTCGAAACTTTCATTCATGTGGCAAATTATGCAAACCCTTGACATTATTGGTTGCCCGAAGTTGGGTTATCTCCAACACGATGAGATCTCTCCTCAGTAATGGCTGTCAGACGCGCGTTGCGTATTTCACATGTGAATACATGTATGAGCCTAAAATCTGTTGAAAGATCGGCGATTCGAATGGTCCGAATACACCCTCCAGGAAGCCCGCATGTTGGATGCCCCTTCTAGGCGCCGTTCAGCCTGATTCGAAAATCGAGAGTCAGCTTGGACCGAAACGCTCAAATCCTTTTCACCAGAAGACGTTTGAAGCTCCTATTTGCCGAGCTTGTAGGAGCATACCACTGGTTTCGTAAGTGAAGCACTCTTCATCGGTCCATATTAAATCGAAGTAGATTCTAGTTTGACCACGTGCAAATCTTGTCCAGGTCGGCTTGAAGTACTGTGATACCATCTAGTGTATTGATCGCCTTCACATCTTGGTGTCATCGGAATAAAGCAGGCAGTCCGAGCTTAGGAGGCGTGTGAACTCGTTGATATACATCAAAAATAACCGTTGTCCTGGTTCCGATCCCCGTGGTACTCCGCATTCAACTTGGATGGGATCCGGCACGGATTCACGCACCATCATATCCAAGCGCCGGTGTAGGAGAAACATTCTGATCCACCCTAGGAGATGATCACTAATACCAAAAGTCTGGAATTTGGAGAGCAAAATGTCGTCGTCGTCTAACCGTTCGGACGCCTTTGGGAAGCCGGGAAATAACACATCAACTCGTGTTCCAGTCTACTGCTTCAGTCCAGCTGGATCGTGCTACTAATACTTTGGCTGTACACGATCGATTTCGTCAGAAACCATGCTGTTCCAGTGCAAGGTGGTTAAATTCGTCCAAGTAGGCCGCTAGCGCATCAAAAGTAACAGCTTTCATGACCTTTGAAAATATCCGTAGTAGGATTACGGGACGGTAGTTTGGCGGATCGGAACGACTACCTCACTTGTGAATTGGAGCAATCAGCCCGTGTTTCCACAGGTCGGGGGCTTATATCTCGGCAATACAGCGTGAGAAGAATCGAGCCAAAGGTTCAACGAAGCTCTCTCTTACCGCCGCTAGCGAGTTCGGGTGAATGCTGTCAACTTCAGGGGAGCTATGCTTACGCATAACAGCTATTTTAGCACAGCCTCTGCTGTGAGGGATATATGAGTGCGTTTTGAGTGTGAGACAACCATTGTCATTGGGTTGGGTGGCCAGTAATCGCACTGAAATCAGTGTTTTCTAGATGTTTGCACTTACTTGATCATGCTGATACGATCATATCTCCTATCGTGGGGAATAATGTTTATTTATTTATTTAACTTAAACTGCTCAAGGATGGTAGGCGCTCGTGTGATGCGCCATGTTACTTGCTAAAACTTACTGGCGGACCTCAGCATTGCTCACCTGGTGTTCCCACCAGACGCGAGCCATAGTCTGTTAGCTTCCGTGATCATAGGCGGACAAATGTTTATCTTCGCCTGGAGCTCGCCAGGTCTGTGATCCATACATTCGGAATCGGGGCCGGTGGGATAGCTAAGCGAAATGCGAGGTGAGTGAGGGCGAATAAAGATGGGTCACCAGTGGTATATTCACTCTCGTACATCCATTTGGGAGGCCCGTTCCAGACAACACAATTTTGCACTGCCGTTGTTCTTATTGGCTTCCTTTTTTATACTGTTAGACTCATCTTCATCATCAAACTCGTTAGCTGCAAGTGGAAAACACCTCAGCTATTGTGGCGCAACACTCTTAGGGTGCCCAAGCCTGAATGGGATGATGATTCGGGTGGTCATTCCGCCATAGCTATTCTACTAGAAGAGATTTACCTGTCGCCATACGGTGTCTAGAACTTACGTCTGGCAAACTTAGGATAGCAGTGGTTCTCTTCGCCAACACCAACAGACTTAGAGGTCAGCGTGTATACCGCTTCTTCCGCGTGATCGTCTAGACGAATAGCCAACACAGAGGAACAGCGCTGTTCCAGTGACAAACTTCTAAAGTGTTGGGGACGTATTGACAGAAATCACGAGTCATCAATTATCCCTCAGTGAGGTGTGCAACGCATGCAAATGGTGGAGTTCTGCCAATTTACATCATGTTGACAACTACTCTATGAGCTTAAACAAAGGCACACACGATGACAAGGAGATTGTGACTGTGAGGTGATCAGTTCCAGTATTCTAGCTGGGAATAAAACCCAGTCTCCTTAGTTCGACCTTTTAATCAACAACCACGCTCGGTAGCAGTTGCGTGCATTACCGTGGAGTCTCACTCCACTCAAATAAGCATCGCATCGAACCCCAAGCCGTGGCAGCAAGGCCAATTTTAACACGTTCAATGCATATACCAACTGATTATCTCTAGTCTGATTTTTCAACTCTGTTTTGCACACTGTGTCCAACTTAACCCACATTGTTATCCAGCAGCGAAAGTCCTGCGACTTCGAGATTGTCGTCTATTTAGTGTGAGATTCAAAGTTACTTCACTAGTTGTTCTGTTCACATACGTGACGTAAGTAGCCTTATTTTGATTAGTTAGACACAGAACGTACCACATATCACTGAATTGTTTTTCTGACTTTCAAACGCATCCCGATTTCTCTCCTGCAGGATAATTCACGAGGGCGGATTTACCCAAGAGGATAACAAACAATTCAAGCCTGTTGTGTACAGCAACACCATCCAGTCTATGGTTGCCATACTCCGGGCAATGAACACACTAGGCATTCAGTTCGGGGATGGCGAGCAAGGGGTGAGTAAAATGAAAAATATTCACTCGCATGTCTCATTTCGCACGCACTCTGCTTGACCCCGTTACCAATGTCCATTGACCCATTCCGCCAACGGGCAGATTCACACCGTACGGCAGAGAAGCTGCCAGCAAGCGACGAGTCACATCGAGAAAAAATTTCCCTGTCTTCCTGCTTGCCTGCCTGCCATGATTTGCATCGATTGCTGTCGGAAGCCAGAATAGGACGCATTGCCATATGGTCGATTTTTCCTATCAGTTCCTCCACCATTTTTCGCATGCGTTGTTAGCTGGGCAATCAATAAGCCGAGAAGCTGCTTTCTGATTGGACGACACAATCCCAGCGTATGTCTGGCCTACTCGCGTCCTCCCATCTGGGCATGGATAGTCAATACACACGAAACGATTCGCTTGGGTTTCCGTCCGCGTCTGACACGAAACACGGGTCACCGCCGGATATTTTCATCAAAGTGGGGACAGCCTACGCTTTGACTGTTGTTAGTCCAGCTCACTTCCACCGCATGGAGATTGTTGCAGTCGTGCCAACTTCTCAGGGCGTACGAGCACCGTGGATGAAGAACAGTATTCGGCTTATGACACAAATGCACACTAGGCTTCGGTGTTGCGCTCTCTCCCATTGCTGCAACACCGAGACCCTTCCAATGCGAATACGATCCCACTGATCGGAATAGCACATGTTGACTTCAAAGTCAACCGAAACCACAAATAAGATTGCGTATCGCAATCCAAGAAACACAACGGGTACTCCAAAGCCCGACCGACAATCAAGCACACTATGCTTCGTGAGTCAATCGTAATTGCGATTGGACTAACCGTGCGAAGTGACGCTCTTAGGCGATGCACCGACCACTCTGCATCGTCTGATGTGGTGATAGGGCCACAACTAACGACCCAGTTGTTTCCGTTTAGTAACCACCTCAAACGTAAACTAAGTGCAGCTTTTACGGAACGCAGTAGGCTGCGAAACGACTAAACGTGCCACACATAGACTTAACTGCGGCACAGTCGAGGCGTGTCCGTCCGTCCGTATACCAGAAGGGGTTCTGACTTTTACGTGCGACACTGTTGAATCGTTTTTGTCTGATGGGACACTTTTAGGCTGAGGAATCGTCATCAACAGTCACTCGAGTAGGACGCGCTAGCGGGGTTTCTTTGTGGTTGGTCTACCGGATGAGGTCTGCGTACGAAAATTTCACCGCATTAGGAAACAGGTCTTTGACTTCCAGTATATAGGATAATTCTAATCAGTAAAGTCCCTTATTATTTGATTGTCAACATCCTGTTCGTTATCGCTCGTTTTCATTCGAGCACACCTGGTGTGTACGCGTGTTAGTTGACGTTAAACGACCCTGAATGTAAGACTTGGAGAACAGGGAGTTGATAAACGCCGATAACTCTCCGAAAGTTTTGCTGGAGCCACGGAAATGACATCATTTTAATTGTTAAAGATAGGAATGATTAGTCATTTGACCGTTTAAACTCCATCGACGAAATAAACATTTTACCATTGAGTCTTGTAAGTGTACAACATCATTATTTGATTTCTTTGTTTACCTGGATGGGTGGAAATTTAAGGACGACCATATGTCGCAAGCCAGCGGGTACCCTACCACAATTTGGGTTATCCGAGGCATGTTTACGGTGTTCTACAGTGCACAAATCCAGCGCACGACGGAGAAAGGACAAAAAGACCGCGCGGAAAGTGGTAATGAGCAAACCATTAGACAGTGGTTAGCCGTGGTGGTTAGTCCACCACCAGTTAACTAAAGTGCTAAACCAGCAGTCAGGACACACAACGGAGTGGATAGAAAAGGTAAGAATGACGTACAAAGAAGGGAACTCGGAGCAACTCGAAAGGGTACTAAACAGGGCGAATATAATGGTGATCTTCCAGCGCTTGCGCATTTGAGGGACTATCTTCCTAAGGATAGGACAACTAGCTGTGTGGATAATATTAAATATAATGACTGTGCACATGGGCCAGACCGCAGGAGAGCTGCGCATACGAATTTTAGAACACGAAAGGCGTATCTCACAATCACCGACGAACAATTTTGAATACCGGGCACCATTAGGAGACTCGGCCGTGTCTGTGCGTACCTTACATATGGGTCCCCAGCTCGATCTGGATAATGTAGAGATCATTAGGATAAGTATACGAGCAACGCCCCAACGGTTGATTGCTGAGATGGTGTATCTCGCCAAAACCGACAGTCGTTTGAACAGAATAGAGGGGGGTAGAACTCTCGAGTGGATGGTCAGGGATTTTAATCCGGCTTGTCTGACGAGCGTGGATGCGCGGATCTAGTTAGAAACCGCAATCGATTCCAAGGGCCTATCTGTCAATGCGATAATGCTCGAGGGAACACATGGACTATACCCACTGACTACAACAACACATTGACGCATGTCCCTGTTTTCGCGATTATCGCCTTGGTTCGCTTTAAAGTGCCGTTCCAATCGTATTGTAGTATGCGTCCGGTTGACGCTTCCGAGGGCTTCTTGTCCCGGGGTGTACATGGGTCCTATTAGACCGAGGGGGCTGAAAGGCAAAAAAAAGATACTTCGTAAGCGGATGGAAAACCCCCTAGTAGGTGTCCGAGCTGAATGTATAATGTGCTTGTGACACACCTCGTGACTAGCTGGGCGGTACTGTCACAGTTGCCGATAGAGGAACGAACGCGCGGCGACTAGATAGATGGCGTGAAAGCGTGCGACGGTTGGCTAATACAACAACCGAAGACGAAGTGGGAAAACAAAAAGAAGAGGAAACGACGCTCACAATATGGGCTACGCTTGACGACAACTTACTTGTTCGTTTGCTATCGAGACACTGGCGCGCTACACGTATACCTAGTCATCTGACCTGACGAATCTTTTGTGTCAACAACGAAACGTTGTGCAACAAATACACCATCCGATTGTTTCCAAACTTACTTGAACTCAGGACCATGAATGTAGCTATACAGCAGTTTAACTGAGAGATGGTAGTTAGTTCATGCCTTTCTTCATCCGCGCGAAACTGCAGTGGGACTAAGACGGTTCATATTGCATTCCGCGAGCTCCATTGGCACATACGCAAATATATGAACCGCATTAAGTGTTTCGATGTTTGCAGCGCGCTCATCCTACACTCGTAGTCGGTTTATCCATGGATGCTTCCTCCATCCGTCCACGCACCCCACAAGCAGTGTGCGGCGAGGCAAGCCGTGCATCACGTGGTGCTGGCGTCCGTCAAACCTGTGGATACTGACGTAATTACCGATTACAGTAGAAGTTCACATCCAGATTCAGCCAGACAGTCATCATGTCCGAAAAAGCACTGGGGAGCTGTTTCATCCTCTGCACGATAGTAACGTGCATGTTAGTGGATAGTGAGCGGCCCTATGTCACATCTAGTAACTAATTCACGATGGTCTTCACCGTCCGCCGTAGCTCAGTGGTCTTCACCACAGACTGGCAACAGTGGAGTTGCGGATGTGAGACCCACAAGGGTCAGATGGAATACACACTGCTGACGATTACCGAAAGCATGAAACGGCTGAACAGCGTTTTTCCGGCCGTGTGATGGCTGTCAGACTGAGTCGAGATGTGAGGAATTTCTACTAATGTCATTCAACTCACTCTACTATTCCCTTAGAAAGGGGTCACGTAAACAGTCGCCATCACCAGACGATTAGTTCTGCAAAGAAAAGCATGCGACCAAGAAAACGGACATTAGTATCACACAATTTTGAACGTCAAATTGTGCCCTATCTGGCGAGCAATATTCAGTATGTTTTGCCCCTCGATGGACCCAAAAGCCTGCATGAGCACAGAGATTGGGGGAGGGGGGGTGGATGCTAGGTAGTTTTGCGCTGTCCCACCTCGGCATATGACAATTTGGTTGGGGAAGTTGGCGTGTCACCAGCTATGCCTACATAAGTTGCTCCACAGTTACATGCGGATTGGCACTCGTGATTGCCTGAGATTCTCTCGCAGGGAATGCCGGTAAAGTCCAAATTCGGTTCATGATACCAACTTGAGCGCAGGCTGTCGCTGTACAGTGGCTTATGAGGGAAGGAGGAACCATACCAGACCTTAGTGACTGCAAACATAGAGATGACAGTCTGACTCTGGCACGCGTCATCCAGTGGTTTAATTTGCCACCTCGTTAGATATTGTGGGTTCGAATCTTCAACGACTCGAAGGGGATACGCGCCGCTGATGATTTCCGAACAGAACGAAACGGCAGTCCGGCGCTTTCCGGTATAGTGGCTTTCTGATTAGACTCCGCTGAGGCGCATATTCCTCAAAGCCTCCTCGGAGTAGTCATCCGTTTAAGGAAATGGACAGTTTTCCTTGTAGTAAACACCAAAATCGTCCCGGAGCTTCGCCTGCACTGTGTTGTTAAATGACGTTGTTAAATGACGTCACGAGTACCCTTTTCATAAAACGTGGTTGGCACCAAGAAGTCCCTGTGATCGTCTTTCCGTTGTGACATCAAATAGCCTCAATACTTATGCGAAAATGTGTATCTTTAACACCCCTGCCCAGAGATTGGATGACGAAGGTTTTGCGGCGTAGATTCAACACAAGTCACGGCTTACCCATATTACGTACGAGGGAAATCAGAAACAAGTGGGAGCTAATGGGAGTATATCGTAAGACCAATTGTTACGCGTGTGTGCAATCGTTTGGTGGGTAAGCAGACAGCAGTATACACTGAGTTTCAAGTCGGTGTCTTAATTAGACAGAATGGGCCAACCAGGCGGGAGCCTATGATGCACTGAGTCTGGTAGTGGCTAGATCCTGACAGACGGTATACCCACTGCTGCTACTGTTGTGCCATTGGCTCATGTCCTGGACGCCTCCTGGCGACCGCTGGGTGGGACTTGGCTTACGCCCTTCTCCCTGTTAAGATCCAGGACACCAATCCGCATGAATCAGTGAACTGACCATGTGCTAGACCCGCTGCCTTTCGGGTGTACATTTAATCGAAG